CCCACGTCCCCTGCATCGGCAGGCGGACTCTCAACCACTGCGCCACCAGGGAAGCCCAAGATCCTTTTTATTCTTGAAAAACTATCCAGAAAGATAGTTTTTGTAAATGTGATATAATACCACCATCTTTTTAAAGAAATACTCTGGAGAAAACTGCAAGAGAGCAAAATGCATCTTAATTTTTCTTCATTTTTCTGTTCCCAGCTTTTCCTACCTGGCCTTTTGAGGGACACTGTCCCTGTGACCTTGCCCATAGCCTACTGCAGGGCCCACTCAGACTGTCCCACCCCTGTACTAAAACCTGGGTCTTCAATGCTGTTAACTCAGGGGCCCGCTTGATTCAGGATGACCAAAGGCTTACATTTCAGCACCTTTCAGGGAAGAGGAGGATTTCAACCCTGGTCTCCTAGATTATAATAGCCCATCCTACACTGTCTGATGGGAAGAATTTCAAACCCTATTTAAGGTGGGTGCTGGAGTCATTTTTAGATGTAGCAAGGTAGTATAATTTGATGGCCTGCAAATCACCATTCTAGTGTCTACCCCGCCCTGTTACCCAAAGGCTAGCACACCTTGTCAGTGACCCTTTGGTGTGAGTTGGACCTCTTTGCAGGTTCCATCAATAAGGGTCAAGGAAGGGCAGCGGTGGTCAAAGGGTGATGAAATTCTTGGTGTCCAGAAACTTCCTATTTATTCCTCTTTTACGTTCCTGGGTGGGGGGAACAATGAACCGGAAAATCTGGTATCCCCACGACCTAGCATATAGGAGCCACCTCAAAGTATTTGCCAAACTTAATTGATCCTAGGAGACAGTGTGCTCTCAAGGGGCAAACCAATCAAGAACACACCTCTGCCGTTGCTGCCATGCCTCCTCCGGGCCGCATGGTGGCGCTGCGCCTCCGCCGAGGTCCGGGTGTTTCTCTGGCTCCGGGGCGCGCAGGCTTCTGGGGACCCTCAGAGCTGCGGCGGCGACGCGCGGGGCGGCTGCGGTGAGTGCGGCGGGCGGGCCTGGGGGCGGGTCGCCCCGCTTGCTGGCTCGCGGCAGGCCTCGCGCTCCCCCCGGGCCTCTCGCTTCCGGGCCGGGGAGGGTCAATCGCGCCGGCTGAGCAGGCCCGAGGCGGCGGCGCGCGAGCCCGGGGACAGCGAAAGCGAGCGCAGCGGGGGCCAGGAGACCCCTAGCTGCCCCACTACTGCCCTGCCTGGCGACCCTGGCCACGTCCCTTCCCCGCCTTGGAGCCTGGCTCCTCTCCGATAGGAGGAGAGACCTTGGCCTTGGTCTAGGGTGGGCCCGGGACGCGCTCTGATCGCGGCCGTGTCCGTTGCCCCGCAGGTTCTCCCACCTGTCACCCTGGCCCTTCTCTGCTTAGACGGCGTCTTCCTCTCCTCAGCCGAGAATGACTTCGTGCACCGCATCCAGGAGGAGCTGGACCGCTTCCTGCTGCAGAAGCAGCTGTCGAAGTAAGCTGGTGTGATGGTGGAGTCGGGCCCTGGGCTGCTGAAAAGGTCAAGGTTCGCCCAGAGCCTCCTGTGCCACTTTGCCCAGTGGTGCATCCAAAGTAACGGGCTCGCCGCTGGCTCTGACCTTGGCCTTTAGGTTTAATAATCTGCTCTCAGGCCTCTCCCAGCTGCATCTTTCTTTTTTAAAAAAATTTTTAATTATCTGTTTTATACATATTAGTGTATATATGTCAATCCCAATCTCCCAGTTCGTATCCCACCCCCCCACTTGGTGTCCATACGTTTGTTCTCTACATGTGTGTCTTTATTTCTGCCTTGCAAACTGGTTCATCTGTACCATTTTTCTAGATTACACATATATATGTTAATATACGATATTTGTTTTTCTCTTTCTGACTTACTTCACTCTGTATGACAGTCTCTAGATGCATCCACGCCTCTACAAATGACCCAATTTCATTCCTTTTATGGCTGAGTAATATTCCATTGTATATATGTACCACATCTTCTTTATCCATTTGTCTGTTGATGGGCATTTAGGTTGCTTCCATGACCTGGTAAATGGTGCTGCAATGAATATTGGGGTGCATGTGTCTTTTTGAATTATGGTTTTCTCAGGGTATATGCCCAGTAGTGGGATTGCTGGGTCATATGGTAATTCTGTTTTTAGTTTTTTAAGGACCCTCCGTACTGTTCTCCATAGTGACTGTATCAATTTACATTCCCACCAACAGTGCAGGAGGGTTGCCTTTTCTCCACACCCTCTCCAGCATTTATTGTTTGTAGATTTTCTGATGATGCCCATTCTAACTGGTGTGAGGTGATACCTCACTGTAGTTTTGATTTGCATTTCTCTAATAATTAGTGATGTTGAGCAGCTTTTCATGTGCTTCTTGGGCATCTGTATGTCTTCTTTGGAGAAATGCCCATTTAGGTCTTCTGCCCATTTTTGGATTGGGTTGTTTGTTTTTTTAATATTGAGCTGCATGAGCTGTTTATATATTTTGGAGATTAATCCTTTGTCCGTTGATTCATTTGCAAATATTTTCTCCCATTCTGAGGGTTGTCTTTTCGTCTTGTTTACAGTTTCCTTTGCTTTGCAAAAGCTTTTAAGTTTCATTAGGTCCCATATGTTTATTATTGTTTTTATTTCCATTACTGTAGGAGATGGGTCAGAAAAGATCTTGCTGTGATTTATGTCAAAGAGTGTTCTTCCTATGTTTTCCTCTAAGAGTTTTATAGTGTCTGGTCTTACATTTAGGTCTTTAATCAATTTTGAGGGTTTTTTTTTTGTGTACGGTGTTAGGGAGTGTTCTAATTTCATTCTTTTACGTGTAGCTGCCCAGTTTTCCCAGCACCACTTACTGAAGCACTGTCTTTTCTCCATTGTATATCCTTGCCTCCTTTGTCATAGATTAGTTGACCATAGATGTGTGGGTTTATCTCTGGGCTTTCCATCCTGTTCCATTGATTTATATTTCTGTTTTTGTGCCAAGACACTAATATTGTCTTGATTACTGTAGCTTTGTAGTATAGTCTAAAGCCAGCTGCACCTTTCACTTGTAACCCTGAGCATCACCTGAGACCGAAGGGGCGCGGCACTGGAAGGGGAGTGGGGCCAGTAGCTCCCTGTCGTAACCTCTATTGGCAGGTCCTTTGCAGTCAGCCTGGGACCCGAGGGGGCAGAGGGAGCCTAGTGTTTAAGCCACCGTTAAACTGGGAGTGGACTCGGTGGGGCTCAGGCCTGGGGGCTGCACCTGGAGCCCCTGCTCAGCACCCCTTCCCGTTGCTCCCCAGGGTCCTTCTCTTCCCCCCACTCTCCAGTCGCCTCCGGTACTTGATCCACAGGACAGCAGAGAATTTTGATCTTTTGAGCAGCTTCTCTGTTGGGGAGGGCTGGAGGAGGAGGACAGTCATCTGTCACGTGGACATCAGGTGTGTATCCTGCTGCCTTGGAGGCCCCTCAGCAGCTGTTTGAGCGGGGGGCGGGGGTTGGGGGCTGGTCGGTTGAGCTGGTCAGTGTCTGAGAGGGAACCAGGGCTGGGAGCCCCCAGGCCGCCACCTCTGTCCCCAGCCTCAGGTGCTTAGAGTCAGTGCTGCTTTCTGCTCCAGCAGCGGAGTAGATGTGCATTGTTTGTGGAATTCCTTTAGCAAATTTCAGCTTATGCACTCTGGGCCAAAAGAGAGAAAGAGAGAGTGGTTTAAACAGCGAAGGTGTCTGCCCAGCATTGCTCTCAGTGAGCTTGTGCCCCGCAGAGGCCATGGAACGTGCGAGTACATCTGGGCTTTCACTCACCTGTTTCCACGTGCATCTTGCAGGATCTTATCATGATGACTATGATCCTAGCTTTGAAAGTTACATATTTTTTTAATAACGCAGTTCCTAAATGCTAGTACTCACCTTACCCTGTGAGTAAGCGAAGACTCGGCGGTCTCATATTCGGTTTATAACACTAGAGGGAGAGCTGACTGCTTTGGGCTTGTTCAGGGCATCCAGCCTCCACTCTGATGCCTTGTTAAGGTGTTCTTGAGGGTCATTTTGGCTTTGGTTTTTGCCCAGGTCTGACTTGAGAGCCTCATGCCTGAATGGCAGGTCGCTCTAGTAAACCATTTTCCTTGGGGCCCAAACACCGCCCTGATCACCGCCTGCTCCTGCTGCAGGTTACCCGGTTCAGATGGGCTCTCTGGCCTCTGCCGCCCTCCTGCTTCCCACCCTAGCAAGTACCGAGGTCCGAGGTCCACCTCAAGCCAGGGAGCGGCTGCTGGTCCCCGAGGAGCGCGGGCCGGCCGGTGGCATCGTGGACGCAAGCCAGACCAGGCTTTGTATGTGCCCCGGGCGCTGCGCAGGCGAGAAGAATGGGCACCCCTCCCGGCCCCAGGGCTTCAGGGAGGTGCTCCAGCTGGCGGGCTCCCAGAAGAGCCCGATGATATCCGTGCCGGGGACCCCACCTCCGATCAGGAACTTCCTGTGTTGGCGACTCAGGCAGCAGACGTCCGAAAAGGCCGTAGCAAAAGTGAGAAAGAGTCACTGCCAGACCCAGTGGCCACTGAGTCCCCAGGGCCAGAGGATCACTCAGGGACGGGAGACAGGTCGGAGTCGTCCACACAGCCTGGGCCCGGTCTGCAGCCAGACTTGGAAGACGGGAGTGGGAGTGAGCTGGAGAGGAGCCTGGCGGCAGAGAAGGAAGAGGACGAGGTGGAAGAGGAGGGGCCGGGCAGCTGCTCCGAGGAGGACGAGTACAGTGAGCTGCTGCAGGAGGTGATGAGGCTCTTAAGCCCGGAAAAGGGAGGGCGGAAGTGAGGTGGGTGTAGTCGAGGGTGGATGGGGGCCTAGGGTCATGGTGTGGAGGGGGGGGGTGGGCGGGTGCTGGCTGAGCAGGCCTGGGTGTTGGGTGATAGGGGTCCCCTAGGAGATGTGCGGGGAGGGACACAGGGGCCTTGCCCACAGGAGTCAGGACTGACACTGCAGAGGGCAGGAGGCTGAGGCTCAGGGTCTGGGATCAGGGGTGTGGAATTCGGTCCCAGCTCAATCATGTAGGTGCTGTTCGACTGTGGGCAAGTCATTTGGCTTTCCTTAGTCTCAGTTTCCTCATCTGAAAAAATAGCAGGTAATGATACACACTGCCCAAGGTAACATAGATGTGCACATGTTTCAGAATGCACTGCAGATGTTGGTCATGAAAATCACTCTTCTGCCTGAAGCTTTGTCTTACAGATCTCGTACCCTTGGAACTGTGTGTCATATGTCCGCCCCTGAGCCTGGCCGCAGTGTCAGTTGGGAGGGCGGGCATCCTGTATCGCTATTTTACAGATGAAGGATGGACGCCAGAAAGCCTTGCTTATTATCACATCATTAATGAGAGAAGGAAAGATCCTGGGCCTGCCCAGCTCTGTGACTTACTGATGGCAACTTGGGGCAAAATTACTTAATTCTTTGACTCAGTTTACCCATCTGTAAAGTGGGCCTATAGAATAGGGTTTTCGGGATTCTGTGAAACATGATGTGTGTCCGTGCCAGTCACCCAGTGGGGACTCCCCTAAAAGTCATGCTTCTCCATCTTCTGGCCCAGTCTGCCATCCTGCTGTCTTTCCCAGACCCCTACCCGGGGTGCTCACCTCCCTATCTACCCAGAAGCCTGCAGGACTCTCAGCATGTGATTTTGAGAGCAGTCATTTGGAGTCGTGTGTGTCAGAGCTCCCCTCGCTAAAGGGTCTGATCTCTCCCAGATAACGGACAACCTGACCGAGAAGGAGATTCAGGTAGAGAAGATCCACATGGACATGTCCTCCTTCGCAGAGGAGCTGCCTGGAGAGAAGGATTTTGCCCACGTGGTGGAGATCTATGACTTTGAGCCGGCGCTCAAGACCGAGGACCTGCTGGCAGCCTTTTCCGAGTTCCAGTGAGAAGCTTTGGGGAGGTGGGGAGGAGGGGGTGCCCAACTTCTGGAGAGGAGCTAGGACACCCCTTTGTTGTGGGGGACAGTGCCTGCCCCTCCCCCGGTGCCCAGCGATCTAGAAAGAAAGGCAGAAAGTGGATGTGGTTGCTCTGGGCTCCATCCTCCTGGGCAGTTGGCTTGCTGGCCGTGACTTTGCGGAGGAGGGGAGCTGAGGTTTCGGTTGCAGACACTCTCCAGAGGCCCGAGGCCTGGTGCAGCTGGCACCGGGCAGCAGATCTCCGTCCCAGCCCCCACACACCCACGTGGTGGCCAGAACCCGGCGGGGCCCCTGCCTCCCCTGCTCCACGAGCAGCCACCCATCGGTCAGTCAGCAGGATGGGGCCATTTCCAGGCAGGAACTATTTCTGGGGTGAACTGGGCTTGAGCGGCCCTGGGGCAGGGTCTGGTGGAGATGGGAGATGGGGATATAGTGAGAGAAAGATTTCTCTTGTTTCCCCAAATTCCTTGGATCCAAATCCAATCTTTTCTCCTTTTTTCTTTTTCTTTTTCCAAATGCTCATTTTCTTTTCTCCAGTCCCCCTTCTCTTTTCCTGTTTAGGCTTTAAAAACATCCCTTTCTTCAGGGCCCCCTTTCTGACTGCTTCCCGAACAGCCTCCCCTTCCCTCCCCAAGCCTGAGCTGGTGGACAGCTCGAGGGGCTCATCAGCTCTCCACCCCTGAGGGCGGAGCCAGACCAGGGCCACTGGTGGTTTCCTTGGCTGGCGTGGCAGTGCCACAGAGAAGCCATGGGCCCCGGAACTGCTCTGGCTTCCCACGGGGCCCAGACTCAGGGGTGCTTTCCTGAGCAGCAGAAAGAAAGTCGAACAGGAGCAGTTGCTTTGACACGCTTGTATTAGGTCCTGTGCCCACCACACAAACCCTTTGCCTCCAGCCTCGGACCCCACGCCCTTGGCCTGGCGTGACGGCACCTGTGAGGAGCCCCCTTCGCCCTTGGCATTGTGTTCTACGAGCTTTGCGTCCTGGCTTCCTCACTTCTAGGAGTGGGGGGCCCATCCGACCACAGGGCTGGTGTCTCTTTCTGAGGCTGACTGTCTGGTCTTCAGAGGAAGTCTGCGCCCGACGGCCGTCTCCTTCCCAGAGGAGACAGAACTAGTCTTGGGCTCAGAGTGTTTGAGGGTTGGAGGTGGGAGGGCATTTCCTGTAGCAGGAGGGGTTTTGCCCATTTGCTCGCCTCATCACTCTGTCTCTTCCCCGGCAGAGAGAAGGGGTTCAAGATCCAGTGGGTGGACGACACACACGCGCTCGGGGTCTTTCCCTGCCTGGTTTCAGGTGAGGCGGGCCCTCCTCTGATTGCCGTTGGGGAGGGCGGGAGCCTAGGTTTCCCTGGGTAGGGATCCCCCAGGTCAGGGTGCAGGCTACCCTGAGCCGGTGGACTGGCAGGGTGTCTCCCAGACCCTCCAGAAGTCCTG